ACTATCAGTCTATATTTTTATTCCTAATTATGGCACATCAATGTTTACGATCACCTTTTCTACGATTTACCTCTTGTTTTCTGAACGGAAGCTAAACAAATGAGGAGATAAAAAAGAATGTTTTCCCTCAATACTTGCTGATAGTTTGTGATTGTTGAATTTTTTATCCAATAAATGTTTCTCGTTGAGCAGAAAAATTAACTATAGCTATCAAGTTTAATAATATTATTTAAATAATCAACGATTTCTGTATTTAACTTCATCCAAACAACTTCGATAAGCTCACCTTATCGAAGTTGTAACTTCCATACGACATATATATAGCGAGAAAAATGATGCTCCTTCCGTTTTACCCGTCGCTCAGACAAGATTTGCATGTCAAAAAAAAAATCTCTATTATAGTAAAATGTTAGAATGAATGTAGCAAGGGTCTTGGTAAGCCGTTCAATCAGCTCCAATGTGTTTCAAATTTTAATCCTGTGTGAATTGCGCTCAAAGTTTTTTCATCCTACTCATCACTGTAGAGATGTTGCAAACAAATGATTCTGTTATTGCGATCTAAAACTCGATGTTACTCCTAAATTTTGTAAACTTCTATGAATAAAAAAATTACGGCAACTAAATAAAAATTCAGTCTTCTGTTATTGTACTAAGCGTTTTACATTTCTACAACTTGAATTGCTATTGCAAGAATGTATGATTGACATCTTCACAGGTCAAACAATTTTATAAACATTGTTCAACATCTTACCAGACATTAATGAAAAATTGGATGCTGTAAGATTCCTTCTGCAGAAACATGTTATGATAAGTATGGGTGTGAGTGTCGGTGTAGGTGTGAGTGTGGGTGTGGGTGTGGGTGTCGATGTGGGTGACGATGTGGGCATGGGTGTAGGTGGAAGATGTGAATAAATATAATAACTACACCGACACTCACACTCACACCCACATCCACACCCACACCCACACCCACACCTCACACCCACACCCACACCTCACACCCACCCAGCATCGCTGTTTCGGTGAACCCTGACACAGGTTCAGTAGTCAGTGTCAGTGTATGCACTGGTTCAGTGAACACCAATATCAGTGCAGATAGTGGAACCAGTGCAGTCAGTGTCAGTGTATCATTGCAGACAGTGCGCTTAGTGTCAGTGTGTCACCGCAGACAGTGCGCTTAGTGTCGGTGTGCCACTGTCAGTAATTCACTGTTTTCACCGAAACTGCACACCCCTACACCTACCCACACCCACACACTCACACCCACACCCACACCCACACCCACACCACTCACACCCACACCCACACCCACACCACTCACACCCACACCCACACCACTCACACCCACACCCACACCCACACCCACACCAAACATCTCATCAGTTCCTGACTGCCACAGTTGACTTCACGAGCGGCACAACCGTCTGTTCGAAAATATACTCGGATCACGGGTCTCAAGACCTGGTACCGACAGTTCCTGAGCCTCTTCTACTTCATCCTTCACTTTCATCATTCGTTATTTGCCATCAACCGATAGATCTCACCGAGTTCTTTCTGGCACATGATTTCACGGGTGGCACAACCTTCCGAGCGAATATTTACTCGAATTTCGGGTTGGGTGGGTGTGGGTGTGAGGAGTGCGTGAGTGTGGTTGAACTGAAAACTAGCACCCACACACATGCTCACACCTAGACCGGCACCGACACCCACCCACACCCTATACGTTTTGTTCTTTTTCTTTTCTTCTCACTCTCAGTAATCAGTATCTAGCCTGATGAAGAAAAATTCGAAACGCGTTGCTTAGCATTACTCTTCTTTATTTCTTATTCAAATAAACTAAATTTATACGTATTTTTCCTTAGTCAATTTCTTCCTTAACTCATCTACAGACTTCTTCAATAACAAAAACAAAATTCTATATATATATAGATATATACTTATATCATTCCAAATATATGTGAAACGACTTTCTCTATTTTCCATAATTCATTAAAACAAACAATTCTATCTTGACAACAATAATCGATTCGAATCCATAAAGAAGAATTCAGATCAAATAAATAGTTCAAACTTCACCAATTCCTAATTGACGAATCGAATCGATTTACATCAAATAATAGAAAAACAGTTTTCTCTTTCATTTTTTCAAAAAGTTCATTTTACTTGTCGGTTCGAAAACAAAATAATGTGAACAGTCTCCATATAAATCTCAACAAAACTTTCAAAGCATATTTGTAGGAGGATGTGTTTGAGTTATTTCTCGAAAATAAAGTAATTGTCATTGTTCAGTTGATAATGCATATTGTTGAAGTGTGCGTTGAAATATTGTAATTTCTTCACATGGTGGACCAGGTATATGTTGTTCTTCACGACATACAGTTTCAAAGTATGCAGCTAAACGATCAAATGATTGTAAAACACGCACATAAAAATCTGGCGATTCTTGTGATGGTAAGAATTCTCTTAAACATTGTAATACCTTTACGCGTATAGCACAAGCAACACGAGAATATTGAACTTTTTCGAGACCTTCATACAGTTTAAGAAGAATTTCTTGGTCAATATATTGATTTATATCTTTCATAGGCTAATAGTTATATTCGAAAAAAATAAATAAATATATATTGATTTATTTGTTTGTGTATTTATTTTCTTACTTCGACTTTTTTACATTTTTCATCTTTATAGTATTTGAGAATTTTATCTTTCAAGGATACACAAAATAATGTTGCAACATGTTCAAATATAAGTTTGATAACATCATTCATTTCATTTTCGGCTGTGTTTATTAAACGTTCAAGTGTTACTTTTGTTTGTTGGAAACCGGTTGATTCATAGTTTTCAATCATTTTATCAATAACAGATGAGAAATGCAATAAATCTGGTAATGATGAAAGAAGTCTTTGTTTAAAATATTCAATATCATTAACTAATATGCATAACTAAAATCAATAAGAAAAGAATTAAAAACAAAAAAAAAAAGAAGAAAATAAAAATCTTTCTCAACGAACTTTTTTCGAAACATCAAATGATCGTGTCCGATTTAAATCAGTAAAATATTCATTTTCTGCTAATTTATGTGCGGTACGTCTTGCATAATGCTGACATTGTTCACATATTGTATTTGTTAATTTAATCAGTGCTATATAACGTATATTTATATCAGGATAGTCAACCGATTCCCATTCTTGACAAAGCTAAAATAATTCAATCAATGCAAATATAACAAAACATATGAAAAATATACCTTCATACATAGATTAGTAGCTGCCTTAGACGATTGAGAATATCGGATAAAATCTTCATCATGAAAAACCTTTAAAGAAAATTATATTTTTTTCTCTTTTCATATAGACTGAATGTAAGTTTGTCTTACCTCATTATCATCTTCTACTGCTCTTTCCATTGCTTGTCTGATCTGTGCAACAAAACCTTCCAATAAAAATTTCATTGTTGGTGAAAACCAATTATGATAGTCTATTAATTTAAATTCAAATGCATTTGTTTGCCAGTCTCTATTTCAACAGAAAAAAAAATAAAACAATTACATCAATAAGGAAAAAATAACGAAAATCTACCGTGTTTCAAGAGTATCTCGAAGTGCTGTAATAATTCTTTTTAAGCATAAATATAATTTCAAAAGTACCCTTGAACTTTGAATTAAATTTGGATCATATATTGATGATGTTGCTTTCACCATTGGTTTTGCATATTTTTGCAAATAGTCTGTCATATTTTTTAATAAACATCTTGTTACTTCAGTTAACTAATAAATATAAAATAATTTTTTTCTATGAACAATGTTGTAGTACATCTTACACGATCGCCTGCACTATTGGGTTCAAAAAAACATATTTTTATATAACTAACATTAAAGGATGCAAAGAGTTCCTGATATTTTTTTATAATTGACATTGATTCAGCTAATTTTTCAACGAATTCAAGAAATTTTCGAACAGCATTTAATTGTATATCGTTTCTATCCTGAAATACAAATGGATGAACACTAAATGAATCATTAATATCCATTTGTAAACGAGTTTTGATTGTGTCTTCAAGAAGTATTTTGCTTGTTGATTGATTTGAGCAAATTTTTAATTGAAATAAAGTATAAATTGTGCTAAAAACATTTCATGATTGAAATAGTTAGTATGTTCGATCCATTTACAAATTATCTATTTGTTCAGTTATTAGAAAAAGATTTATATTATAGAAAAACAAGACCTATATTTTTTTTCAGATCTATACAATTCAAATATAATTATTGTCCTACGAAAAAGAGTTTTGCTGAAACTTCTCATTATCGATAAAAATAGCAGATGTTATCTTTTCAAAATATAACTTGATATACAAGAAGAGAGCATTTCTTCAATTTAAACGCATTTCGTTTTAGAAAATTCTGTTGACTAATAAATGGCATACATTGGAAGGTTTTTTGTAAAACCGAAGAAATTTTCTCTCTATCCGAAAGAAACTCTTAAGTCAAATTGTTTCATTCGTTTTTTTATAAATAATCGATTTGATCTTATTATTTCATTGAAATCAAATACAAACATACTGAAATATACTTTCAATACTTGAGATATTTTCTCGCAAAGGTAAAAACCATGGTGCATCATCACGTACACGTTTTTTATAGTGACCAATAAATAAAGAAAAAATTTCTTCAAATACTGTCCTCTAAAATGAAACACAAAAGTTACTTTTTAAGCAATGACAACAAAAAGATTATATCAATTTTACTTCATAATCAGTAAAATCCAGATCATCAATATCAGTTCTTTGTCGTATTTGTTCTAGAAGTATCTTCAAGTGATCTTCAATAACACCTTGACTTATAAATAATGAATAATCTTCTGAACATCGAAGTTCCATGATAACAAGTAACTGTCTATTGATTTACAACGATAACATGATTAGGTTGAATTGTTTACTACTATTCAATACTTACATTAATGCTTCTGATAGAACTGAAATATTATATAAAACACGAAATTGTGTGAGAACACTACAAGATAGATTATTTAATGATCCATTCCAATCAATAACTGAATCATTTGACTCATTGTTTTTCTTCTAGAAAATAAATGAAGTTTTTCTAACTCTTAATTTTATAATTTATGGAATAAACTTACTGTTTCTCTTGCATCTTCTAATTCATGTCGTATAACAATACGAGTTAGTTTATGATCTTCTTCAACTAATGATGGAAAATCTGAATCAGCAGCTGGTGTTAAACATGAAACACTTTGACTGAAGTTTCTCTTAAGAATATCTTCAACAACAAAAAAAAATGACAAAAATGTGTTTCATACACAAACTTTTATGAAATATGATCTGAAAGGAGTGTTAAAGTAAAGAAGTAAAAGTAGTAGTGAAACCGGAACATGGCTAAAGGGAGCTTAGTCTCATTCAAAAACCTTTGAATTTCCTCTAGAAATGAGAAGATCTTATATTAAAAAAAAAGTATCTCCCTTTCAACTTTACATCAGAGTTCATTCTTGCTACAAATTTTTTTCTGAAATTACTACTATGTGAAAATTTGGCTGCTTCTCTTTCGACAGATCGTGATAGGCGTAATCAAGAAAATGCTCGGAATATGACAGATTCGCTGGCAGCGTCCGACGTCGATGATACATATGTTATATGTATGTTCAGTTATATTAGATACCCTGAAACAAATCAATGCCAAAGACTTTTTTCAGAGGAATTATTCGTACAAAAAATTAACTTTAGCGATGTGACAGAAATAAGAACGTTGACTTTTGAGTAATTCTAGATTTTTAAGAAAGATCGATTTACTTTTCTTAAACAACCTGAAGAAGTATGAATGTATAAACGAAAAATAAAGTGTGGGTGTGGGTGGAATAGTAGTTTTTAAGAGGAAGGTTTTTTGGACTTTAAACTCGTTGAAAATTTCACCATAGACACGATTCGTATTGTAGTGTTTATGCTCAACATTTGTGACTTTTTAAATGATTAGAGAACTATTGGCTAATTACTTGTGACTTAATACCCTTTCTCAGAAAACGGCACTTTTCATAAGAATGATCGAAATGAAGACAATTGCAGGAGAAGACAGTCGGTGACAGATCTCTCATAGACGAGAAAAGTTGTTACTCAGCAATTCATTTTTTTCAAACATTTTTGAAAAAGACTGAAAATCTTTTTCGGTTTTTCTCTACTCAAAACAGCGTGTCACCATACAGTGTCTACCAGAATGGTAGGCCTTGCATCCTGAAATGCCGTTTCAAATCAAAAAAATTAAATATATACAATGAGCCTAGACAGAAATTTTCGTTTGTCAAATAAGCTATTTTCGACTATTATTTAGCTAATATTTCCCTTAAAGGTCATGGCATAGGACTGAAAATTTTATCATAAGTTCTTGAACATGTCTTGAAAATATCATTACATTTGAAGGTTCTTTTGAGGAGGTCTCAGTAGCCAGTTGTAAATTTTCACATTTCTGCATATGTCTATGCAAAAAGAACTTGTAGAGATAAATAACTCTTGTAACGATTCAAAGTGAAATGAAAGGTTGATATGTCTCATTTTGCTTAAGATGACCAATATATATATATCTACTTACTGGGTGATTTTGGATAAGAAAAAGCTGGCATTGGTAATATAAGAGAATTTTTCTGAGGAATTATAGGATAAGCTATAGTTGATGAATTTATTTGATCAAGAGCTGATGTTGATGATGAATGACGACCACAAAATTGTAATACACTACTATTTGATCCATATTGATGACTGTTTTTAGTTTTATTATCCTTGAAATAGAAACAGTTGCTCATTTAAAAATCATGCAAAAGCATATATAACAAATGATGATAGTCTTTGAAATAGTATCAAAATGAAAATATAAAGATTCAGTAAGTCGATTGATTTGGTCAAGATGGAAATTATCTTTATGAAAAAAAAATTCTTCGAATCGATCTTTTTACTCACCAATTTAAATTTAACTTGCAATCGAAGTAGAATTTCACCTCGTGGCTTATTATTATTTGAAAGATTTTGGTTCGATCCAGTTAAAGGAAACCATTGTTCACGTTCAAATGTAACTAATGACTATAAATGGAAAAAGAATCTTTAGATGGAAAAAATGTAATGTTAGAGTCCTTGATGACACACTCCTAAGCGAGACGAAGACTAAGGTGTTCCTTCTATTCTAATTGACTCAGGACGTCTGTCCAAATAGCAAAAAAATGTGTAGTTCGAATTCTATGAAGAACATTTTTTCCTTTATTCTGTCACATGACATTGATGACACTCTTCTGCATATATTAGGACTAAGATAAAGAAAACAACTAATGAAATTTGAATTACTTTAATATCAAGACTAACTTGACCAAGAAAGTTAGCTTCATTTTCGTCTGTTATTATAAGACTTTGCATTTCAAGAGGTGTGCTAGATAATCAAATAGAGACGGAATATATTTCAAACGAAAAATAAGATTTACCGTGAAGCACCTCTTTTGAGCTCTGGTGCTTGACCACGATCTGAATTGAATACGTTTATAAGTAAATATTGTTCTTGTATATTTTCTATCTCACTAAATAGATTAAAACGATACAAACACTACTCAGAGATGATCAATAATCAGAAGCAAAATAAAAAACCATTAAGATTAGTCAACATTGTATAAAATTCTAAATCAATATAAACAACATACAATTCAAAATGTTCATTCCATTCTGGATTGATAGTTTGTGGTTGAACATGTGTAAGATAACTAATACTTTTCAATGTTTTGGTATCATTAGATGATACTGTTGTTGAACGATCTATTGAATATGTTCCACCACTGCTTCTACGACTTCCTTGCCTATAATTCGTCATTAATGGTTGGAATTGATTTCTTGTAACTAAAAAAAAAAGAACAAAGATATGAATATTGTTTTGAATGAAAAGCTTTTGTGATTCATGAGAAAACTTAATCAAGTGATAAATCGCTTTTTATATGAGTCTTACCTTTTTAGATGCGACCTATTGAGACCAGAGAATGTGAAAAATAATTAGCATCTATAGTTGGGTCAAATTATCACTCTCGTTGCTAAACTAAGAAATTTAAAGTATCTCGTCCCCATAGCAAGTCTAGACTAAGGTATGCAATTTTTAAGATATACAGTTTTGGTTGGTAAGTATATAAATATGAAAACTATTCATATCCTATGCTACACATTGTCATCGGATTTTTGAAGTAGTACTTTTCTAGAAAGTTGTTAAAAATTATGAATCACATTAAATTCGGCTTCTTCTAGACGTTTACCCGTACTAAATTTGGAAAAGATGTTATGATAAACGAAACAATGAGCAAAATTGACAAAATTATCGATGTTTGCTCTTAAATTTATGATCTTTAGTATTTCACTAATATCTATGGAGAGTGAATCCTCTAAAAGTGTGGTTGATACAAAAACAGCTTTTGTTTTTGTCATTTAATTGAACATGTTCATCTTCAGTTGTAATTAATCTATTTTTTTTCATATAAATATAGTCAAAAGTACTGATAACTATAGGTTTTCATATAAACCTGCTAGTATTTATGCCATTTTGGTGTATGGATAAACTTTCAGAAGAAGTTAAATCTAATATGATGCTAATGTGATGGATAATTTTCAACAAGATTCTAAAAAAAAGTTATTCGTATGCTTACTAACCAAAATTGCGTATATATTAAATATCAAATATGTCAATCTAGACTTGCCATGAACATACAATATTTAAAATTTGTTAGCTTGGCTATGAGAGTGATAACTTGATCGGAACATGGTTAATCTTCTTCATGGACAATATAAAATGTTCAATTGTAAGTTGCACTTCATGATGGTTCTATTCCAGCGTAGTTTTCTTTCACAGCTCGCTCACTTTTCTTTTCTCTTATATGAATTTTCTCCTTACTGTTCTCTGTATTATAATGTATAAGATTTTTACTTTTGCCCTCATCATTCTTGTTCTAATTTTTCTTATCTTATTCATCAACATGGACATTGCCATAACATCCATTTATACATACAGAATGTGATTTGACAATAAACAACATTTCGATCTTACCTTCATCTTTTTTGATCTATGAGGTGAGCCTCTTCAGAGATTGACATTCTTTTACAAAGTTGAAACTTTCCATAAATGAATTTCTCTATAAGACTAGTTGATGATGAAAGTTTCAGATTTCTAATATCTTCTATTCCCAGATAGGAATATTAAATTTCTGTCATGTGAAAAAACACATTATTCTTATATTCAAATCTTAGGATAGGAGACAATAGAAAATGTAAAACGTTCACAATTTATTAACTGTGTTCAGAACATTATTTTTATCAAGTTTGAATTTGAAGTTCAAGAGTTAATTTTGAAGATAACTTGAATAGAACCACGACATTTTGCTGTAAAACTGGGTTAAATGACCATAACTCAAGAAAAAAGATCCATGTGTACGAATTACTTTTGGCTTTTCCTGGTCTCAATAGTCTCTCTCATGAAATAAGCTTTATGTAAAAAGTGATCCATAGCCTCAGAGGAAGGTGTTCTCGTCTAAGATGATTAAGTGATCTTGAAGGAGATATACATGATGATAATGTTTACTTACTTGAATCATCTTCAATACTGGGAATATGTATCACACTTATATTGCAATAAGGATCCATGAGGCCTTTTCAAAGAAGAAATATAGAAAAATAAAATATGTTCAAAATAAAAACAAACCATTTTGATCTTTACCAGATAAATTACGTGCTCTTTTAACATCAACAGATAGTCTAACAGACCATGACTAAATATTATATAGAGAAAAAAAAGATTATTTGTTTTCGAAAAATACAAACAAGGAAAAAAATAAACTTACATCCATCTTAAGAGCTTGATCATATTTTTGTTTATGTTCTTTTGGATCAACATTAAAAAGCTAATAAAAAATATGCAGAAAAATTTTTAGTTTCATTCAATCTTTATTTTGAATATATACTTCAGCAACATGCGCAGCAAGTTCATCTATTGTTGCTGCTCGTTCAAATAAATGTAATGGACAACAAACAGCATGTAATGCATATTCATAGAGATATTTCTAAAATAAAAATCATTTAAATAACAAAATTCAGCAAAACAATGCAAAGCAAAAATATTAGTTGCATTAATATTTAGTTTTGACTTTTGTTTATTTCTTTCATTGTCTTACTTGAACAGGATTACTTCTCTTGTTCTCCATGTGAAATAATTATTGTTTTTGTTCACAAAAGAAAATAATATAGATATGTATTCTCTCTAGAAACAAAAAGAAACAATAAAGTACAAAAAATATCAATCAGTTATTTTTTTTTGAAGGTTCTATCGCTTCATCTGATTCAACATCATCAATCTCTTTTTCTATTTCAGAAATTTTTTTTCATTTATAATAAATCAAGTATGTTCAATAATGATGGTATAACATTATTCAATGTTTGATGATTTTCAGCTCGATCTATTCGCTTATGTTGTTTGCTTTTTAAATGATCTATATGAAGAAAACAACATACGAAAAGTCTATATAGAAAATAAAATATTTACCAAACCATTGTGATTTCATATGAAATAGACTTTGACATGCTAAACATGTATTTTGTTCATAAACAGATTTATCTATTTGGTGTTTTTGAAATAGTATCAAATGGAATTAGTTTATTCTAACAAATATATACAATTTAAAATATATGAATGTAAATATTTACTTTTGAAAAAAAATCAGTAATAACTTCAATTCTTGGTTCAACATTTTCATACCATAATCATAAATTAGTTGTATCAAGTTCATAAACATTATGAAAATGTTCTTCGATACCTAAAATCAAATTTAATAAAGTTTACCACAGAAAATAAGTATTTGAATTTGTATTGGCATTTATGATAGTCAAGAAACAATTGGAAATGAATGATTTTGTGAGCTTCTGCAAGTTGCAAAAGGAAAAGAAAAAGTTTGTTCTTGTTGTTTTTTATATATATAGAGAGAAAAAGCATGATGATCTGATCTGAAATGTACGTGTTTTTAACTTTTTGAAATTAATTGTAAGTAGAAAAAATCAACTGTTTTCCAATGATCTGATTTTTCTAAAGAAAAAGAGAGGTTGGTTCTTAATAATCAACAACGTCTCTACACTTTTTTTTGTTTCTGTGAAATATTGAAATTGTGTGTTTGGAACTCAATGTAAAAAATGCAATGCAGGGTACTCGTCTGAAATGATTTTCTTACATTCAATTTTTCACACTGAATCTCAAACAAACACTTCCGAAATTTGACAAATTGTCGATTGTGGACAATTGACTTCGTTTGTAGAGAAACTAAATCATTGGAAAAAAATGAACTTTTTTTCCAAGAGCTAACTTTAAAAATTTAAAAACTCATATATTCTGGATCAATCCATCCAGCTCTATCTCACCATATAAAAATAAAAGTTTTAATCATACATACTTACCATTGGCAAATACTTTTTTTCATTATGTTTACTTTTTCGTTTAATATCTAATAAAAGTAAGTAATCATGAAATTCTTTAAAACTAATTACTTGGAATATTCTATAAGTGTAATTGTATGATTGCTCTGATTGTGCACATGTGCGATTATATTCATCATGAAATATGTCTAATTCATCAATAATAAGATCACCATCAAGCATAGGTTTTATTCGATCATTTATACGTCTCACTAATTTTGAAAAACAACGAAAAGAAATATTTGTTTTTCTGATATAAACATACCTTCTTTTCAACATGTTGACCATAAACAGATAAAAATGATGAAAACGAAATGATTCTTGATGGAAAAAAAAATACTTTCAGCATGTTGTTTTTTTTTAACAGTTCACTTAATGGAATGCCACTAGAATTATGCTGAAACTCAATAGTTCTAATGTTGTGCGAAATACACAGATAGAAATTACTAAATACTTTTCCTATATACTCTTTATCAGCATAAAATCTTCATATATTTTCATTATTCTCAATGTTATTTTATGCACACCTGCACATACCTTCTCGTATTTTTTCTATCTATTAAATGCGGCGTTGCTATTACCATGCATAGACCATTATGATTCATTGACGTATTTCGGCTTTCTGGTTGTTTACGTTTAAATCTTACTTGACATGTTGCAGCTTACACCTGAGTTATCACTCATTTTTTTTGCTAGAAGGAAAAAAACACGAATGATTAAAGGTAAAAAAAATCCCTTCGTATTTTACATTCTTCATTTGGATATCTCCAAACACTGATGAGTTTATCGGTTTTCGATGGTGATTCATGTAGTTTAACTGAAGTTAATTTTGCTACATTTTTTTCCGATAGATCATGTAATATCGGGATAATGATTTGCCATCAGTTTATCTTAAATTAAAGTTTTTGTTAATTTAAATTTAAAATATATTTAATAGTACATATAGTTCATGAAAAAGTTTGGATGCAAGTTCTTTAAATGAATAGTGAAAGAACATGTTTTGTACTTTATTATATCAATTAGAACAAAGTGTATATAAGTTTTAGAAGTTCAATTGGGGTATATAACATATACTTTATATTTTTGAGAATATTGAAAGAAAAAAAATTGTAAATAATAAATCTGTGAGTTCTGATCTGTTTATAATAAGACTTGAAAATGAATATCAAAAAATATCCAATACCATTTTTCTATTCATACCACTTGATATTCTATTTAGAATTGAAATTGACAAGCTGTTAACATGTCTTGTTCAAATTCTCTCTTCGAACTTTCACCAGCTAACTTTACAGATTTTTCAGTTCTGACAGGTTCAATCTTAGCGACAATATTAATAATGAAAACCAAAACATAGACAATAAAATAATAACGCTTATTATTAGAACTAACAACTTTTTAGCTCATCTTCTTGATTGTCAAAATGCATTTCATATATAAAATTGAGTTTCCATTATTCATTACAAATCATGTCTCAATCAAATGGAATTTTTATAATATGATAAACAAAATAGAATCAGAAATCGTCTTACTGCTGTGTCCAAAAGAAAATTCGAATAATCGGTTACTCGAATTAAACAGGGTTTCATAAATACTTCCTACAATGATCAAGAATTGTCAAAGCAACTTTTTTTTGCCAGAAAAGTAGTCATGCTACCAATATCATAGAAATGAAGTCCTAGATAGCTCACTTTTAATTTCCAATTGGTTTGTTTCTCTTGGTTTTTGTTATATTCTTTTAAAATACTTCTGTCTACTTTCTTTTCACCAATAAACCAACAAATAAGAGGATATCAGTATAATAAAATACATTCGATTAGAGAGATATTTAATAATCTCAAAAGAAAATTTTAGAAACATCAGAAAAATGAAAATTTAAAATATAAAAAGTGTTAGCAGAAAATTTCCGCAAGAATTAATATTACGAACTATTTGATGACTACTCTCACACAGTATATACAAAGACTAAACAATATAAGATCAATCGTGCTCACTCCATTCTGTTATGGAGGATCTGTCTTCAGATGTTACCGATCTAGATATCAATATTTTCCTAACAAAAGTCGTTGTGAATTCCAACTAAAGGACATTCAAAAAAAACAACCAAACATGAAAATAGTTCAATTCTGTAGTTTTCAACATTCTTCTAACCAGTCTTTTTTAAAACTGTTTTGATGGCTGAAACCATGGATCTTTCATTATATTTCGAAAACAAAATCAAAATATAGATTTAGAGGTATAGATTTATTCTAGATTTTCACATATACACTTGATTACTTCTCTTTTCTGTATTTCAAGCCTAAGATAATCATGCTTATTACTCACCTGATAACGACAGGTCACAATAGTTTGTCACAGTGATAATTTGTTTTTCGAAGAGAGAACTGTCTTAGACTTTGTTTTTCCAGCTCAAATTGAAAAAACACTGTGTTTTCAACCGAATTTTATGGAAAAAACTCCTGATCGAATTCTGGTTTTTGACGAAAACTTAATACTTTTTAAAATTCGCATTTAGCATCGCTGTTAAATATGTACAATAAAAATAAAATACGAATTTTATTTGCTAGTGTAGATGACTACAATAACAAATTTTCATTATACAAGTTTTTCGATAATAACAATTTTAGATGCAACAGCTGTTAGAAAAG